GGGAGGCAGGGCCGGTGGAGACGGGACTTGGAAAGGTCAGGGATGGGGAGGGACCCGGAGGAGCTAGGGGTTGGGGGCAGGAGGTTAGGGGCGGGTCCTGGAGGGGCTGGGGCGGAGCCAGGGATGGGTCTGGGGCCAAGCTCGCATCCCGGCCACCCGGCTGATCGCGAGCGTAACCCCGACGCGGGCGGCGCCGCTGCAGCAGCCGGACCTGATGGTCAGGTTCTCCATGACTCCGGGAAAACGCTGCAGCTCGTCCCGGAGCTCGTCGAAGGTGATGGCGCCGCTGCCGTCCCTGTCGGCCGACTCGAAGAGGGCCCGCGTCAGCTCGTCCAGCCTCTCGTCGGGCAGAGAGATGGCGCTCTCGCGCAGGCAGGACCGCAGCACGGTGCGCAGCTCGTCCGCGTCGATGGAGCCGCTGCCTGGCGGGGCGTGGAGCCGAGTGGGGCCGGGCCCAGCGCCCCACTCTGCACCCGCAGACGTACCTGCCTTGCATACGCTGCGCGGAGTGGTGGGTGCTTCCTGCTCACCCGCCCCCAGCTGGCTGCCAACCAGTTCCCCTGGTTGTGTAGACAACGCAACCTAAGTACCCAATGTCACCCTCAGCTCAGAAACCGTCCCTGGCTCCCTACTGCTAGCTCGACAGAGGTGGACGCCTCCCCACGTGGGGGAACTCGGGCCTCAGTGAAGGCCTTTCTCCAGCCTCCCCAACACCACTCTACTTCCAAGACCGTCTGCCCAGAAAATACACCCGCCTGCTTCATCTGAAAGAAGCGGTGCCCTGCACCTTACTGCCCACAGGGTGGTGGTGAGGGGTGTGCCCTGCCTCCAACTTGAGGAGACTCTGTTTATCATGTCCTGAGAGGGTCACCGTTGGGCCCTGCCATGTGGCCTTCTGTGAAGGAGGGAGGAGTTCAAATTGATGGGAAGAGGGGGCAAGCGCCCCTGCAGAGATCCCAGGTGCCCTCCAGGTTGGGGCATCTTTTCCGCCCAGCAGGGCGAAATGTGCAGCAGAGTCATGGTGAACAACTCTTTGACCTGTGTTGGATATGGACACACTCCCTGTTGCACTGCATACCTGCCCCACTCACTGTGTGCCGGAGGGGGTCAAAATCCTTTGGAGGTGTGGCCCTCACTTTGCTTATCTCTAAAATGGGAGTAGTCATTCCTCCCTCTCAGAATCCGTCTAAGGAAAATACATAGCCGCAAGACACCTTGTGAGACGTCTGGAGGTGAGTAACTGCATGCGTGTGGAAATGCCTGTTGGTGTTGCAGTCATCGTTGGGGCCCACACTGAAGTCTGTAATCACACAGCAACACAGAGTCAATCTGAGTCTGTCACACCCCTCACCCCTCGGCCACTCCTGCTTCCTGGGAAGGAGCCATGCTGTGGTAGGTGTCTGACCCTGTCCAGAGCTCCAGTCCCTCCCATCCCTTCACGCCTCCTCATCCTTCCAGTTAGACTCTCCGTGGCCAGTTTCAAATCCAGGGTCCTTCACGGTCATTCTCACACATGCATTTTCCCTCCTTGTCTCTCTGTTCCTCTGGCCTATTGGCCCCACGAATATCCCATCCCTGGGGGAACCCAGCCACCTGTCCGCCCCCCTCCCATGCTCCAACGTTGTTGACACACCCGAGATAGCAGTGTGCTTCAGCCCTCCGCCTTGCGAGGCCTTCCCTGTGTCCACCGGCATCTCATGCCTCCGGCACGGCCACTGTCCACTCTCTGCAAGGACCACTTCACACGCCTGCTCCCCTCTGGTGCCTGCCTAGCTCTCAGAGACTCCCTGCGCCATTGGAAGGGAACGTCACTGAGCTCCTCCCTCAGAGCCATGGACTCCCCCTCGCCCACCCCATCCTGTGGTCCTTCCATCTCTGTCCACCAGGAGGAAGTGTGTGTTTCTGCCTTCTGTCAGGGCCATCTGAGGTCAGCAGTAATCCCAGGTGTGGCAAAGTTTGGCGGTCAGAAAGCAGTCAGTGATGTGGGAGACTGGGATGGGGTTGGTGGGAGATGTTTTGAACAAGCATGGTCGACTGCCTATGTAGTGGGGGCCGACTTGGGCGTGGGGTCCAGGAATGGGGTCCGACTGGATTGAGGCAGGAGAGGGTGGAAGCCAGAGAGACCCTGCAGGTCAGAGGGCCTTGCCCAGGAGTGGGGCTGCAGCTAGCTGGAGCTTTTCAGGTCCACTCCTATGACTCCTCTGCTCAGCACCCCATTGTTCATTGAATTGAGACTCCAAACCTGGCCTTCAGGGCCCTGCGTGGTCTGGCCTCACTCACCATCCCCGGTTCACTGGATGCCTCCCTTCCCCCTCCCCACTGGGCTATGCTGCATGATACATACAGTGGGATATGTTGCAGCCGCTAAAATACGATGCTGTCACAGCAGGGACTTACCCCTTCATACCCACTAGGATGGCTCTTACCAAAACTAGAAAATCACAAGTGTTGGCAAGGATGTGGAGAACTTGGAACACTGTGCATTGCTGGTGGGTGTGCACCATGACAAAGCTGCTGTGGAAAACAGTCCCAGGCTGGCTCAGTGGGTTGGGGCGCAGCTTCACTTGAGGTGGTCCACTGACACTCCCTGCTTCCCCACCCCATCCCGTGCCCAGGAAGCTCCCTTACCATCGACATCATAGACCTGGAAGAGGAACCGGAGCTTGTCCGTGGGGCTGCCATGGACCAGCAGGGTCAGCGCCTCCTGCAGCTCCTTCAGGGTGATGGTGCCGCTCCCGTCTGAGTCGAACAGGGCAAAGAACCGCTCTGCGAAGAAGGGCTGAGGGCGAGAAGGGGGGGACAGGTGCGAGTGGCTGCAGGCCTGGACCTTGCACTCATTCACGCCTCCGAGCATGCATGTTTGTGTGTGTGTGTGTGTGTGTGGCCTTGTATTCATTCACTGCCTCAGTGTGGGTACGTGTGTGCGTGCGCACTGGCAGGGGCACCCTGGTGGTGCTCTTCTGGCAGGACTGGGGGCCTGACGCCCTGTGTGACCCACCAATGGAAGGCCTGCTCAGACCCCCACAGCAGGGGTGGACCTGGTCTAGGCTTCGGTGCCTTTTGGCTCTGAGCCTGGTCATTTGCTCTCTCTGCCCCCGACACACCATCACTGCCATCAGCCTTGCAGCCCAGACGTCTGGGTGGCCTCTTGCCCAACATGAAATAGTGAGTTCCCTGCAGGCTCCTTTCAGGCCCTGCCTCTTCCCCCATGGGGTGACCCCAAGACTTAGATAGTAGACTCTGCTTGAATATCTGAGTCCTCTCCTCTTCCTGGCCTTTTTTTTTTTGAGTAAGGGTCTCACTCTGTCACCCAGGCTGGAGGGCAGTGGCACACTCACAGCCACCGTAGCCTTGACCTGCTGGGCTCAGGCAATTCTTCTGCCTCAGACTTCCAAGTAGCTGGAATTACAATCATGTGCCACCACACCCGGCTAATTTTTCTTGATTTATTGTAGAGATGAGGTCTTGCCAAGTTGCCAGGGCTGGTCTCGAACCTGTGGGCTCAGGCAGTCCTCTCATCTCAGCCTCCCAAAGTGCTGGGATTATAGGTGTGAGCCACTGCTCCCAGCCTTCTTCTTGGTCTTAGGGCCGCTCACATCCCACACTCGAGGCTGCTCTTGAGAACTCACTCACTCATTCATTCATTCAGCACCACGTGCTGGGCAGCCTCTCCTCCAGGTCTGGAGCTGGGTGTGGAAACAAGGCAGGCTTGGCTCGGTGTCCCAGAGGTGTGTGTCCTGGGATGCTGTCCTGAGGTGGGGGAGGGGCCTGCAGGACCCTACAGTCTGACTTAGTGAAATCTGGAGGGCTTCCAGGTAGGAAGTATGGGTGGAGTCCACACAGACAGACACCCTGTCTGGGCTTTCTTCTTCTTCCCCATCCTTGGGTAGTGTCCTTAACACTCTCTCCTACCCGAATAGCCCTTATCTTTGGATGGAAACATCTCCCTGGGCACAAATGCCTTTCGCCCCATATTTGCTGGGGAAGGAGGCTTGGCATTGGAGGTCCAAGCAGAGTCTCCAGTACCAGCAGGCAAGGGACTTTTTAGGAGGGCATGCAGGTGCCCATTGGCTAGCCTTTGTCAGGGCCAGGCCACCACCTGATGCCAGTCTCCAGAACAGCCGGGAGAGGCTGGTGTTGCAGGCGTATCCTTCCGTCTCTGCAAGGTCTCCTCTAGGGTCAGGCTGTGATGGGCTGGGGGAGTGAGGGTGCAAGGAACCTGGCAGCCTGGGAACAGCGTGACACTGCAGATGGGACTTTGCTTCTTCTCAGGGACAGGTGTGAGCCAGGGCAGTGGCTCTGCCCATGAGCCTGGGGGAAGCTGAGATAGATCATGTTTCTAAAGATTTGACAAGCTACCGGCTTCCAACCTCACCTGTTATTTTGAAGACCCAGGAGGCCCCGGTTACCCAGAGGGCCCCAGAAACACCTGCCAGCCCTTCTTCCAGGTGGGGCCTGCAACCTGGAGGAGCCCCTGGGATTGTCTTGTGCCCCTTTTAAGGCTGTGCCCTGAGAGCCAGGTTGCTTGTCCTCTGCAAAATAGAAACGCGGGCCTTCTGCTTTGGGGACACTTGCCTCCTTCACACGCAGAGCGGTTTTGAACTCCTGCAGGTCAATCTCCCGGTCCTCGCCCGCGATGGTCTTGAACTGCCGCGTCACCCAGCAGAGCCACCTGGCGTCCTCTTCGGCACTCATGGTGCTGGGAGACAAAGGGGGAAGGCTGACGGCTTGGGTGGCCATGGCTCCTGAGGTCTCCTGAGGCAGGGCCTCTACCCAGAGGCTCAACCTAACCCTGTATTTCCTTCTGGGAGCAGTGGCTCAGAATTCACTAACTCAGTGTTCTCAGTGACGTCATGGAACACAACTATCACAAAAAATGGACATCAACTTTATTATAAATAAAGATTAAAAATAGATGAGCCGATTTTCACCCAAAGTCCTGCCGCTCCACTGGGCCTGCTCTGGTCACCCCTGGGTGGGAGCCCTGGAACTGCTGGGCACTGCAATGACAAAGCAAAACACGTGCCCCCTCGCTGCTCCTTCTAATCCTGGGCCACTCTGATCTGGGCGTGTGGCTTCCCAGGGGGCCTTCTCCCAGGGTGATACCAAGAGCCTCTCCGGCCTCAGCCCCTGGCATGTTAGTACCATGAGTGTTTATGTAACAGGACCTCAGGGAACGCCTTGCCACCCAGGACACCCTGAGAGGCACCTACCTGGTCAGGGTTACAGCCCACCAACCAGATGGGACACAGTCCTGAGGTGCCACTTCAGCTGTGGGGCCAGCCACACAAGGGAGTCTTGCGGGGTGCTGGGCATCTTCACGTGGGGGAAGCGCACTGTTGGCCCCCCCCCACGGGTGTGTCCCAGCACAGCTGCCATCCTTTTGAGGGTGGCGCCCGGCTCACACTCACCCTGCAAGCTGCTCTCCAGGCCTGCTTGCCCCAGCCCTGCAGCCTCCCTGTCATCTGTGAGTCTGACCTGGGGTGGGAGAGTCTTCACTCCCTTTCCTCCTTCTCTGCCCCTCCCACTCGTTCCTCTTTCCCTAACTCCCAAGGGAGGCTGGGCTGGGAGTCTTCAGTCAGACCCTGGACTGCCACAGTCCCATCATGTGAGGGGCTGGATGTGCAAGGTCCCAGCAGACCTGGCCCTCCAGGACCAGGGCTCTGGGTTGGGCCTGGAACTGTGGGTTTCATGTGCCTCAAAGTCACTGGCTTTGCCTGAATAAACAGAAGCCCTCAGACAGGACTCTGCAGTGTCCTCAAGTCCCAGCGGGCTTGCCAGTTACCTGCCAAGCGGGCTTGCCAGTTACCTGCCAGCTCTCTGTTTCTCTGTGCTTGACCTCTTCATAGGTATGTGTTTATACTATACATATGTGTACATACATCTACATAAGGGATGCATGCTTTAGTGTGTGTGTATATATAAATATACATCATCCGTGCTTTAGTGTGTGTGTGTATGGGCCTTAGTGCATGCACGGCTGTGTGTGGATACACACACATATACCATACATGCTTTAGTTTGTGTGTGTGTGTGTGTGTGTGTGTGTGTGTGTGTGTATGCACACACGTATGGGCTTTAGTGTGTGTATGTGTGTGCACTTGTATATGGGCTTTAGTGTGTGGGTCGATATATACACATAAATATGCAGTGACTTGGTGCCAAGCCGGGATTGAGTTCCAAGCTTGGGACTCCTCGGGTTTCCTGTACAGACCACCCGGCCGGGGTCTCCCCCTTAACTCTCCTGCAAACTCATAGTTCTGGTGAACCGAGCAGCAAGGAGGGTGCAGCCCCTGCCAGGAGCCAGTCCAAAGCCCAGGGCTCAGCTCTGCCTGGAGGAAGGAAGGATGGAAGCTGAGAGAGACTGCCAGAGGTGACCAGGGCAAGGTCCAGGCCTAGCCTCCCTCCAGGACAGCCTCTCCCCTCCAGGCAGGGCCCTCCGGTGCGCCAGCATTTTGGTTGTATATTGCCTGCTTTGATCTTTGGGGCAGCCAGTATGGTAGGTCTTATTGCCCCTGCTGCTTTGCAGGCTGCAGCTATTCAAAATGAAAGGACGTCCCATCAGACCCTCTCCTCCTCAGAGGGCCTCTTTTGAGATCTGGCTGCCCTGAGCTTCCCGGGTGAGTCCACACCATCCCGGAGAAGCCATCTCTGAAGGTTGGCAAGACAGCATGCCGGGTTCTGGACAGAAATCATTAACATTCAGCACGAGTCAGGCTGCATGTGGCTCACGCCTCTCACTGGAAGCCATGTGGCATGCGACACTCGCCGTCTGCACCCTCATGTTCCCATGGCTGGGATTTCCGACGTGAGGGTCACCAGACTATTTAAGGATTGATCTGTGTACTCACGGCTCCCATGGACAGGGTCTCTGATGTGAGCATCACGGACTTCTGTCTAAGTATCTGCTTAAGATGCTTTTCAGACCCCAAATTCCAGCAGCCAGTTTGGGGACCCCACAGAGGCAGAGACCCGTAGGAGCACACAACTTCTCCCTCTCCCTGTCTATGACATCACCTGTGCTCATCCACCAATCAATTCTCCCCATGCTTGGGTCCACCCCTAAAAGTTCCAGCCCCAAACTCTTTGGGGAGATGGATTTGCAGTTCCCTCCCATCTCCTCATCGGTGACCTACGAGTAAACCTCTCTCTTGCTGCAACCCAACATTTTGGCATGTTGACTGACTGTGTGCATGGGCAGTAGACCCACTACAGTTACAACTGCCCCAGGCCCCACCCTTACACTGCCATCATCTAACAACAACTCAGCTTGGACCCTCCTTGATGAGGAGCTCATCACCTCTCACCTCTGCACCTGCCAAGGCTGGGGTGCCTGCTTCGATGCGCCTGAGTTGGTGTCAGCGTCCCATCTCTGCCCCCCAAGATGCTCACACCTCCCTCTGACTCCAGTCACCTTTTGGCAGTTTCAAGGCAGTCCCCCACAGCCCAGAAGGCCCTCCCCTAAAGAGTATGGTTCCCAAATGCAACACATGTCTCCCAAATGGGGAAGGTCCTGGGTGGGGCCCAGGAAGCTGCACATGTATCCAGCACTCTGGATGCCCGTGACCCACGTGTGGGTGGTCCTAGCCCACACCTTGAGACCTGCTGCCTCAGGGGTCAAAGAGCCCCACTCACTTCTCCTCCGGGGACCCCTCGGGAAGGCATTCCACAAAGCAGGGAGAACCCTGGGAAATAGGCACTAACCCAGGGAGGGTGTGGGTAGGGTGCTTGCTCTTCACCCTACTTCTCAGAAACAAGGTCAGTGAGGTGGCCTGGGAAGGGGCAGAGAGGCTGGAGGGTTGGAGGGATGGAGACGGCGAGGAGGCCAGAGGAAGAGAAAGTGGCACTGAGCCTACAGCAAGATTGCCCTCAAACCATTTAAGCAGCATGTAATCGCCACTGTCCTAGGAAAGAGAAGACAGCCTGCTTGCTCGCTGATAAACTGGCATTCAAGATAAAACTATAGAGAACCCGAAATTTCTCAGAACTGGACATCTTAAACAAGATACACTGGGGGGGGGGCTAATGGGCACGACACTATCGAAAGCAACTCAAAGTTGCTGCCAAGTTTCACTCATGTTTTTGGAAGGATTTTCTTTTTTATTTTCCCCCAATTAAAGAAAAGTAGTTCCACTTCAGATTTCAGAGCTCAAGGGGAAGAGTATGCTTCTCCAGAGGCCAGGATCAGCCTCAGGAGACCAAGATGCCAGGTTCAACCTGAATGACCAGCCACAAGCGTCTCTCCAGCTATGGACCAAATGAGATGCTGTCTGGGAAAGCGTAACTGGAAATCACAGCACACTTGCCGGATGCTGCTATCAGACTGGCTGGGCCAAGTCCTTATTTTACAGATGAGAAAATATGCCCAGAGAGGGCTGGTTGCTTGTCCAAGACCACGCAGCTTGCTAGTAGCAAGGCAAGGGCAGATAGAGCTCAGGTGGCCTGGCTTCTGACTGTGGCAGACATTGTTTGCATGTCCCCCAAAGGCAGAGACCCCTGCCTTTGCTTGCTGCTGGCATGGAAGGCACTCACCCTCTGCAGGCTGCAGGGTCTGACTGGACCAGGTCTCCCAACATGCTCCTCTTCTCCTGTCTTCCAGCGCACACGACCCAGGAAGGCTGCTGCTCAAATACCCACCTGCTCCCCCCCGCCCTCCGGCTCCTCCTCCTGGTTTTCCTGAGAAAGCTCCTCCTCCTCCTCCTGGCTTTCCTGCTCACACCCACATTCCCTCAGCAGTCTACATGCTGGCTGCTGTTAGGCTTAGTCCAAAGAAACCCCAACAAGGAGGCCTGGAGCAGGGCGGGGTAGGGGGCTTATTGGGAAGGAGGCTTGCTGTCTCCCATCTGGCCCACTCAGCATATCTTCCTTTCCTTCTTTCTTTTTTATTTTTTTTTGAGTTGGAGTCTCACTCTGTCGCCCAGACTGGAGTTCAGTGGCCGCTCCCGGCCACCGCAGCCTCGACCTGCTGGGCTCCA